CCTGCTTTGAAGATTCTCAGAGGAGCATATTTTAGAGGCTTTGTTATGCAAAGCTGTTATTCCTGAAACAACATTCGTTTGTAAGATGTGTTTTGTTTGTGGGGTGTATTTATTTGCTAGTCTGTGCCATATTTTGATCTGGGGTCTGGGCTTAGAAAGTGTTCACAGTGTTCTCTGGGCAGGCCATCCTAGTGCCTCTGCTCTGTTCCAAGCCCTGTTCCGTAGCTCTGGTTGACATGGAGTACTCCTGAAAGCAGTAGCTGAAGCAGGGAAGTAACCTGTTCCTGGTTTTAAGGATTTAGACACAGCTAAGTAAGGGTTTAGTCAAAGTAAATAATGTGGTGCCTAACTAGTCTTTACAGCTGGATGTCTCTCTCTTGAAGCTGTGATAAAGAAAGTGGGGGAATTTGGACTGTCTCATAGCAGGCTGAACATGTGGAGTTGTCACAGATCAGGGTCTGAAGCAGCACAGGAATTATGCAAGATGCAGACATGTCTCAAAACTCTTCCTTCCTGTGCTGACAGTCTCTTAGAATCACAGAATCATTTAGGCTGGAAAAGCCCTCACATCCCCAACTCCGCATCTACATGCCTGTTAAATTCCTTCAGGGATGGTGACTCCACCACTGCCCTGGGCAGCCTGTGCCAGGGCTGCACAACCCTTTCTGTGAAGAATAGACTCAACCCAGGTAGCTGAACCTTGCCTGGATATGTGAGGTTGCCTCAGGGATGGATCTTGGCACCTGCAAAGGGAATTTCTCTTCATTACAATTCTCCATGTCCCATCTCCCCATTCTTCTCCTGCCAAGCCAGATATGATAATGGGACTCCAGCAAAATCAGTGATGCTGAGGTGGTTTCCCACCAGCCTAGCAAAAGGGTCTTCAAATTATGACTCTATTTCTACCTGAGGCTTTTGTGCCACCAGCTGGTGTGCTGCCTTGGCTGCAGTCCTGGATCCCCTGTGCTTCTGTGCAATTTGAGATGGGGACAGTGTCTGATGATGACCTGTCACTGGTGCACTCCAGTGCCCCTCACCTCTGGGTCCTAGATTCTCTCAGCAGTAGAAATCCTACAGCAGTCTAGAAACACTACCTCCAGCCTCAAAAACCTTTTTTAAGTGCCTTGTGCATCCCATAAATTGGGTCATATAGATTTTTGGTTGATTTTGGGGGCACTGAGTAGATGTTGGAATGGTAATAGAGGTTTTGAGAACTTTCTGACAGGATTTCCTATGCCTTCACCTAAGGAAGATTGTAACATCCTTAATTCCTCTCCTCCCTGAAGGCACATCCCTCTCATCAGACCACCTAAACATCCATTTTACACTGGGCATCTGTACACCCAATTAAATACCTCACATTAGGTGAGATCAATCATATGCTTGATCACCACCAGGCTCCAGATGGCAAATGAGACCAGGAGACTGTGCCCAGGGTTCCCTGAAGATCCTCAGTCTTTTAGGAACCTAAACATTTTAATCATCTTTCCCAAAATTAGTCACAGAATCATTTAGGTTGGGAAAGACCTCCAAGATCATCAAGTTCAACCTATGACTGATCATCACTTTGCCAACTAGACCAGAGCACTAAGTGCCACATCTCGTTATTTCTTGGACACCTCCAGGGATGGTGACTCCACCAACCTCCCTGGAAAATGGAAGAGCTGAAATTAAAAGGGATCCTGTTTCTGTTAGAGAGATACTTAGAACTCAATGACGGAAGAGAGATGTGGTTTGGGAGCTCTTCCCTGTATCCTGCAGGCTGTGCTGGGATGGATGTTCAGTAAATCAGACCAAACTGATGCCACCTCACATCTTGCACAGGCATTGCCATCTTTCCTCTTGGACACAGTCTTACTTTTTGCCTTCTGCTTTCCATCCAGGGAATCCAAACATTCCGAAACCTCGCCGGATCCTGCGGTCCTCCTGGGGCAGCAATCCCTACTTCCGAGGATCCTACTCCTACACCCAAGTTGGGTCTAGTGGGGCTGATGTAGAGAAACTTGCTAAACCACTGCCTTATGCCGAAAGCTCCAAAACTCCTGTAAGTATGGCCCAAATTGGGTCTGTGGCAGCAAAACTGATGTGATGCTGGGTAGTGGGGTTTTTGGGAGGGAGGTTGAAAGAGGCAATCCTTGCTTTGCTCCCCAGTAGTGTGTTTTCCCATTTGTTTTTATATATATGCCTCTCTGGGCAAATGATGTGTGTAGGGTTTTGCTCCTTTAACATCTGGAATGCCAATGTGTCAGGGATTCTCACATCTCTTCCTGAAATTAGCAAGAGCTGCTCATCCATGTGGCTTTTGGAAGCATGATCTCTATGTTTAATGAGCATTAGCCTTGTGGTCCAGTTCAGAATTCCCTTGGAAAGCACATCTTATCTTGTTTTAAAATGCTCAGTATTAAAATACTTGACCCTGCTCATGTCTAGGTCTGAACGTGTCAGAGATACGTATTAGGAAATCTTTCTGTGTTGCAGTGCAGGCTGAGGGGGGCCCAGTCCTTGGCAGGGGATGATGAATTTGTTCCTCAGACATTGCTTTCTGAATATAGTAAGGAGAGTCCAAGCACACATGGAGATGGTTACCACAGCTCATCTGACAAGCAGGAACACATTAAGCCAAACTCACTCCATCATTCAGGGTTGTGTCCAAATCCAAAGACAAAGGCTGATGAATGTACAGCCTCCAAGGAGCTGCCCAGTCCATTTCCTCCACCAGAGCCTGACCCGAGCAGAAATAATTTTATTTAGCCCAGAAATCTGCTTTAAAAAAAACAGCAGGAGCTTTAGGAATCTTTCTGTGTAATTCCCAGGGAAAAGAGGTACCAGAAGTTCCTGCCTCAAAGTTGTGTTGGAGTTCTAGCAAGGACTTATTGGTGTAAGGGATAGAACAATGTGTCTCACCCTCTGGGTTTTGAGATATGACTGCTTTTCCTTCTGAAGTTGCTGTCCAGGCTAAAAATTACATTAATCCTCAAAATGCTGAAGTATAATTTAGGAGAGCAAAGGCAGGAGATGGTGCAGAATTAATCTGTCCTATGCCTCATGCATGTTTGTTTTAGGATTTTTGAGCTGGTACCTGTCCTTGTGGTGCACCACATTGGGATTTTGAGAACCAGCACTCTAAAACAGGTGTCAACCCATGGCTGTCCAGGCTAAAAATTACATTAATCCTCAAAATGCTGAAGTATAATTTAGGAGAGCAAAGGCAGGAGATGGTGCAGAATTAATCTGTCCTATGCCTCATGCATGTTTGTTTTAGGATTTTTGAGCTGGTACCTGTCCTTGTGGTGCACCACATTGGGATTTTGAGAACCAGCACTCTAAAACAGGTGTCAACCCATGGAGTGCCCCATCCCTGGAAGTGTTCAAAGTTGGATGGGGGTGCCCCATCCCTGGAAGTGTTCAAAGCCAGGTTGGATGGGGCTTGGAGCAACCTGGTCTAGTGGAAGGTGTTTCTGCCCACAGCAGGGGGTTGGAACTAGGTGATCTTTAAGGTTGTTCCAACCCAAACCGTTCTGTGATTCTATGTGTGAGGGCACAGAAAGTTCTGTCTGCTTTTAGCCTCACATCTGCTTTCCAGTAAGACCTGCTGAGCTTTTGTGTTTTTCCTGCTCTGTGCAGCCGATGCAGGTGATGTTTTCGGGGGAGACCACTCACAGGAAGTATTACTCCACGACCCACGGTGCTGTGCTCTCGGGGCAGAGGGAGGCTGCTCGCCTCATCGACATGTACCAGGACCTCCTGCAGTGCCAGACCTGAAAGAGCCCTGTTTGTGACCACCACCACCTCCCAGATCCTCCTGCAGGTGTGTGGAGGGGTTCTTTTTAAATTTCAGTTCACAGTAGAACAGCCTTTATCTTTTCTATTAAAAAAATTAAAAAGCCCTAATTGTTAAAGTTAGCTTCATTTCCATGTGCTGTATTGTTAACAGGGAAGGGTGCTCTTTTGGTCTGGTAAACTGTTTCTCTGTCATTTTAATTCTAATTTCACTTTGGTGCCTATCATATGTTTGGGGTTTTTTTCTCTTTCGGTATTGTAAGTGCCTTCTATACTAAAATAAATGTTGTAATAAAAACACTGAGTGCTGTGGTACTTCCTGGACACTTCATGCAGGAACTTTCAACTCTTATTCAGTGTTTGAAAAATAGAGGTTTTCTCTCTTCCTACAAAATTGGGAGTAGGAGGATCTTGAGTTAGATCTGGATACTCAGTGTACTGGTTGATCTTAATCATTCAAAGAATTGCACCTCAGAGACACAGCTATTTGCCTTGTGCAGAGTAACACAGAGATCACTCTGTATCACATATTTAACTCTATCACCTGTCTGTGGGCATTTGTGCACCAGGAAGTCTGCTTATAATTCCATGGGGGAGTTTGTCTTCCCTCTGGGTTCACTCAGCCAATCCATGGAAGTTATCGAAGCAGAGAGACAAACACCCTTGATGAAAGCAGCATTGGAGGTTGTGTCCACATTTGGTTCACAAAATGGGTTTGATCTGTGCAAATTAGGCTTTTCCCTAAGGAAACTAACACAGGAGTGCTTCTCCAGGAACTGCCCAGGTATGTTGCAGCCTGTAAAGGGAGTGTCAAAGTCTGACCTATCCCTTGTCCTTCAAAAACTCTGGTGCCACATTATGGGAGGTGAGTTCAGGCCCATTACCAGACTGTTACCAGACTACCTTGGTAATGCAGATACAGCTGGAGTGAACTCTGGTCCAAGTGGGAAAAACATGCAGGCTGGTGTGGGACTGTGGGCAAGAAGGAGAGTGCTGAGAACCAGCTTTATTCAGTCACCTTTGTGGTGAAACTCCATCTTTTGTTGGACAGTGAGACCCACAAGGGGTGAGGTTTTCACCCCCTGCCCCCAGACAAGAAAGTCCAAAAGTCTGAATGACACCTTTGGTGTTGATGTGTTTCCTCAGAGAGGTCAAGGCTGTTCCCACTAGCAAGGAATTTTGAAGGAATGTGGAAACTTAGCTTAGTTTTATTATATTTTCATTAAAAATATGTTTTCTGTGGAGCCTACATATAGTACCTGGCATGGGACACCTTCCACTAGACCAGGTTGCTCTAAACCTCATCCAGCCTGGCCTCAAACACTTCCAGGGATGGGGCAGCCACAGCTTCTCTAGGCAACCTGTGCCAGTGCCTCACCACCCTCACAGCCAAGGATTTCTTCCTATTATCTAACCCTGCCTTCTGTCAGTTTGAAGCCCTTTCACCTTGTTCTGTCACTCCAAGACCTTGTCCAAAGTCCCTCTCCAGCTTTCCTGGAGCCCCTTTAGGCACTGGAAGTTACGTAAAGGTCTGCTTGGAGCCTTCTCTTCTCCAGGCTGAACACCCCCAGCTCTCCCAGCCTGGCTCCACAGCAGAGGTGCTTCAGCTCTTGGAGTATCTCCATGGCCTCCTCTGGACTCACTCCAGCAGCTCCACATCCTTCTCCTGTTGGTGCCCCAGAGCTGGAGGCAGCACTGCAGGTGAGGTCTCACCTGAGCAGGGCAGTGGGGCAGAATCTCCCCCTCACATGCTGCTCTGCTGTGGGGTGAGCCCAGCACACAGAGGGTTCTGAGTGCCAGTGCACATTACATGAGAGTAAGTGGCACTCCAGAACCTGTGATACACAGTGAGTATCCACATGTCCCTTCTTTTATGCTCAGCTTGGGCCCAGCTGGGGATAAATGTGCTTGGTTCATCAACAAGATTCATTGGGCAGAGTGCTGAGGATGAGGAATGTCTGACCAGGTTTGTCCATGCCCCTGCCAGCTCCTCCTGGTGTGATCCAGACAGCAGCTCTGGCAGTGACACCTCTTGTGGTGACTGAGTAGAGCTGCTTGGAAATTCATTAAAAAAGGGCTTAAAAATGTCTACAAACAAAAGTGATGAGAAAGGGGAAGTTAACAAGAAAAACCTTTGAAAATTAACTTGGGGTGAATGAATAAAGATACTGCAACAAGCCTGTCCTGATGTACACTGCTTAGACATGTGGGAAGGCATCTGAGATGAAACCTGCCTTAGGCTGAATATAGGTTAGAATTGCATCACATAAATGGTGTTTGTAGGGAAGAATCTCTAAGAACTGATGTTTTCCTCTCCCAGTAATATAATCTGGACCAAAGAGATCTGGTTAGGGCAGAGCTGACAGGACTGTGGTCAGTGTGGTCACAGCACCAATCCTGCCAGAGCTCAAGGAGCATTTGGACAATGCTCTCAGAAGCATGGTGGGATTGTTGGGGTGTCCTGTGCAGGGCCAGGAGTGGGACTTGATCCTTGTAGGTTCCTTCTAGTAACAGGAGCACTCTCCATCCAAGCAGCCCCTACACTGTGCAGATGTGTCAACAAGTCCAGATGTTAGTGACTCCCAGGGTTTTCTCCTGAGTTTGTGACCGGGGTGCCATCTGGAACAAGAAAACACTTTTTTTTTCCTTAGAGAGAGAAATCCTGTTCTTTAAAGTCAAGTGAATGCACTGTAGCCATCAGCGTAGTTTTAAAATGTCTAAACAGTTTCCAAAAATAAAAAGTTTTCAGGATGAAGGCTGGTGTTTGGCTGCTGCCTTATCTCCCTGCATTCTATTGTTCCATGTGCCTGGCTGCTGGCCAGGGCTTCCTGCAAGGAGTGAAAGATGTGTCTGGTTTGGCATCTGCTGCTCCACGTGAAGTCTGTGTACACTCTTTGTGCCTATGAGATGGGAGTTGTGTTGATAAATGAGTTACAGAGAGGAGGAAAAGGGACACAGAGAGGGAAAAATCCCTCTCCAGAGGGTGAGTCAGTGCATCCCAAGATAGATGTCTGCAGAGGAGGCACCAACTGACTGACTGTCTCCAAGATCTGCTGAACTGTGCTGATTCCATGCTGTAGTGTGGAGGTGGGATGCCTTCCTGGCTGCTGGAAACCTGGAAAGGATGGTGGTATGTTGGATTTATGATGTTTTTCTCCCATTTTATCTCAGAAGCAATTCCCTTTTCATGATGTTACTGTTAGAGAGTTGGGCTGTGGGAAGGGGAGCTTAACATGCTTGAAGAAAACAAAAGAGAAAAAGTCTGTGCAGCTTCAGTTACTCAGAGCTCAACCTCAAGGAGCCAGAGCTGATGTCCCAGCAGCCTGATCTGTTGTAAAGTGGAATCAGGAGAAAACCAAATCCTTTGGTCACGTGAGCCTGTGATCCAGGAAAACTGAAGAGGGTGCTTTCTCCTGTGCCTTTTTTACCATGGGATATCCAATAAAAGCTGCTGTGCTGGTGATCGGGGTTTCAAAGCCCCTTGCAGGGCAATCCTGCTTTGCCCCTTCCTTCCTCTGCTTCCATCCCGCAGCAGCAATCCAGCCTTTAAATGAGTATCATATTGCAAAGACACTAAATTTAGCAATTGTTTTAAGTTGAGGCCACCCTGAGCATGTGACAAGGAGAGGTGGCATCACCACAGAGCTCTGTGACCCCCCCCCCCCTCCCTTCTCCAAGACTTGCTTCATCTTCACTCCAGCTGTGCCTACCAAGAGCTCAGCAGTAGGATGAAGGTTGGTAGGAAGCAGATGTAGCTGCTGTGATGGTAAGAGACATCTAATTACTCAGTATGAATTGAGCTCCTCCTGGCCAGCTGGTTGGGGAAGGTGGTGGGTGGAAGCAGCAGGATGTTGGCAGAGGTGGGTCTCCAAAGCCCCATGGGGGGTGATGGTGCCACAGGGGAACAGGGGTGTCTGTCCCTGGCTGCCCCTTTCCTGGGGGATCTAGGGAAAATAATTAACAAAATTTTATTTGGAAAAATTTAGGAGGATTATTAGGAAAAATTTATTCATGGAAAGGGTTGTCCAGTCCTGACAGACTGTCCAGGGCAGTAGTGGAGTCACTATCCCTGGAAGAATTTAAAAGCCATGTGGATGTGGCACTTGGGGATGTGGTTTAGGGGTGGCCTTAGCCGTACAGGGAGGACAGTTGGACTCAATGGTCTTAGAGGGCTTTTCCAGCCTCTGTGACTCTGTGATCCTTGAACTTGGTAGCAAGAAATGCTTTAAGAAGGAGGTTGTTTGAAAAGCTGAAGTGAGTGCTTAAAGCTTCTCTTGCATGAGAAGGGTGGTGGAATTATGGGACAGGTCCTGACTCTTGGCTTAACATCCCTCCTTGTAGAAATCATTGCAGAATCACAGGATCAATCAGGTTGGAAAAGACCTCTGAGATCATCAAGTCCAACCTATGACCTAAGTGCCACATCCAGTCTCTCCTCAAAAGCCTCCAGGGATGGTGATTCCACCACCTCCCTGGGCAGTCAATTCCACTGTTTAATCACCCTTTCTGTGAAGAAATTCTTCCTAATGTCTAACCTAAATCTGCCCTGGTGCAGCTTGAGACTGTGAGTTACCCACCTTGGGTGAGCAGAGAGCCCCTTTAGTGTCACCGATGGTTAATCACAGCACCATGGAATTGTTAAGGCTGGAAAAGAACTCTTAAGTTCACCCACTTCAACCAGTTAAGCCTGAGTTGGTGGTACTGAGTGGCCTGTAGTTGTCTCTGCTGCCATGTACAGAGGGGATCATCCAGACTCATGTCCCCCAGCATGTTTAAGGCTCCCAGCATGATTTTCTGGCTCAGGGCTGTGGATGTTTGCAGTGTTTAGCCCTTTCCCTGTGCCCTGCAGGAGCAGTCCAGGACCCATGCTGGGCTCTGAACTGTGCAAGTGGGCACAAGTCAAGCTGTACCAGGGGGTGCCAATTATAAAATAGTGAAAAGGATGGAGTCTGGTGCTTAGAAAATGCCCCTGGTGCTGATTTCTTTGCAGTAGCAAACACAATCCGAAAGCATAAAAGGAGATTGGGACCCCTGGGGGATTCCAGCAGCTTGGTATGTGCCTCATACCTTGTCACTGCCTTGGTTTGTGCATACTCCTCTGATTCTGCTGCTGCTGAGGGCTTGCTGCAGCCTTCATCTCCTCTTTCTCAGCCTAAACACCCTCTCTGACAAGAAGGGTTTTCCTATGTGGAGATGCAAAGCTGAAAAAAAAGGAAGGAACCCACCTTGTAGTGAGAGTTGCAGCTTTCTGTTGTGTGCCTTCAGGACTGATCCACCTAAAGCTCAGCACATTAATGT